AAAAGTTAAAGTTTACGATAGCTATGGGAAGTGTAGTAAATTGTACCAGCAGGATCATAGTATTTGGTGGTAGGAGGAGGAAGACTAAAGATTCTTAGCTAAGTGTTCATGCAAGTGAACTCAAGTTTCTATAGTATCCTGTGGAACCATCACCATATTTACACCACAGCTCAGAATATTGTTTAGCTCAGTTATTTGACATTAAATCTTAAATTTATGAAATTCTGTCAGGTCAGTAGAAGTGTTGACTACATGCCATTAAGTAAGCCATTACATCAAGAGTTGAGCAAAATGGGAAAATTTAATCTATCAGCCAAGTTACTAGACTGGACATTTTGTAAAATAGGAGAATATACTGTATTAAGCAGGCATTCGGTGTAATATTTGGAGGGTCATCCAAAAATTCTGGTTTTGAAAGCTAAAAAATAACTCTCAGCAAATGTTGACTTGGAGGCTATATCCATATACTGCTGCAAAAAAGAAGGGAAGAGTGAAGTTTGCTCTCTAGTTTTGTTTGTGGCAGTACGGTGAGTCTGATTTCCCATATGACACCTGAAATTATTAAGTAAATGCAAATTTACTTCAATTCCACCATCAGTGTCAATAGGAATTTTGAGACAAGGAAATGGTAGAAAATATTAGTAGAGGAAATTGCAATTAAAGCAAGTATGCTCACTTTGTTTCTTGCTCAGACTCTCTCTAACATCTCATTGATATGTGAACTGCATTGAAAGAACACAGGTTTAGGTGCACAAGCTTTGCCTAGAATGTTACCCAGCTTCTTAGTGAGCTGTATTTTCAGAAAAATCCTTCTTCACAGGACAGAGGAAAAGGCACACATTTTCCTAGTATTTTACTTCCCAGTGTTTCCTAGAGAGAAAATAAAAGATTTGGTAAATCCCACTCCACTGGGGTAAAATTTCCAGAGAGAAATGAATGTGGAATGTAATTCCCTTGATGCCTTTTCCACATCATCTCTTCTTGGCTCTGTCCATTTCCTTGTAGTAAATCCCACAGATGCTCAAGCAAAAGTGAACTGTTTAATCTTTCTTTAAATTGTCAAATATTTTTCCATATGTATTGATATAGAAGCTGTTGTGCTGAGGCTTTTCGCAGGTGTCTACCTTTTCTAGAAGGTAAGTGTTAATAGGAAAGTTTACTAGTTGAAGTTATTACTTACTACATCCATTGCTAATCTCCAGTTATTGTGTGTCACATGTTTATCCCCATTTGTACTTAACTGGAAGAGGAAGAAATGTTTTGCAACCTTAGTGTCAAGAGTATGAACTACTGACAAAAAGAAGGAAGTATTATGAGTGGAAAATGGGTGCTAATCTTAAAATTTCTACGCCAAACCATTTAAGGAAAGGCATATGAGAATGTTATACTCCAACTAGCATCAGGAGATACCTTACACTATTGTATTTGTTTGAATAAAAAAGAATGCAAATAACCCAAAGACTTACTCAAGGTCACAGTGATAAAATTAGCAGTAGAGCTGAGATTAGTCCAATCAGAAATCTAATACCCTAGGGTAAAATGATAGGATAATTAATTACATTATATTAGCCCATTTCCAGAAGGGACCTAGGATCAATCAAAAGTATGTGGGTTTTTGTAACATTTCCTTAAATAAAAGCTTGACTGTTGAATACATTTAACCGGGCATTGGTGTATTAAAGTTCTTTTCGTAAAAATAGTAACCAGTGAGACTCCCCATTAGAAAGTCTGAGAGCGCAACAAATTGGTTATAGCCATGTTTTTTGCCACCTCTTTCTAATTTTTTAATAACATAAAACCCATAAATTAATAATTTCAGTAATTTTATACCAGTTGTACATCCATATAAATACTGGCTCCTTTTGTGTTGATAATTTTAGGTTAATCTGTTGACAGCATACATGTCAAAAGGAAAGGCATCCCTATTACTTCTACGTCATTGCTTTAACACTCTCTTTCATGCACTGTTCAGCCTTCTGCTGCTTGTCTCTGTGCTTTCTTAAGTTTTTGTCAAGGTGTGCTATAGAGTGCTTACCAGTGTCTCGGTCAAGGAAGTACTGTGATTGCATGTCAGACATCTCTTAATTCATAATCTGTCTATATTTTGCCAGAGCTATTATAGAATGGCTGCCAGGGAGTTCAGACAACTCACCTCTGTGCTTGAGATAAAGGTAGTGATGTGTATATCATGCAGTTGGATGGTCATGTGGAAGGCTTTGTGTACTCTGGTGAAATGCTGGAAGGTAGAAGAGTAGGAGAACAAAATCCCATGGCTACTTCTGCAGAGCAACATCACTGATAGAACATTGTTTCTTGGTTTGACAGCCTGTGATCAGCAGCGAGTCAGGAATACAAAAGCAGATATGGAAAAAATTTCAGTCACCAGGTATAATTATACTTTCTGAGGTATTTGTACAGTGGTCATCCTGTGATTGCTGTGACAAGACTGCAGTGAGATTTCCTCTTGGTATGTTAATGGATAGAAACAGACCCCAAATTCTTGAAAAATTATTCTTCCTAGAACAATAAGCCTAGCCAGGTCTCTGCTTAATTTTATCTTAAAGTAATATAAATTTTCCATAAAGGCTGTTTTCTTCTGCAGTGTGAGTCAGAATGAAGATAATCTTCTGTGTAGGTCCTGTTTTTAACAGAAAGTGTACTGCAAAATAAATTTACACTGTAATTAATACGAACGTTAAAAGTTAGCTATGCTGATGGAATGATTAGAAATAGTCTCATAAAAATTTAAGGGCAGGGAAACAATGCATTGACACAGCTATGACTCAAAACACATTTTTTATCTCTCCTTCTGCATCTGCTGCTATAACAAACACACTTGCCATGCAATCAACTTCTTTTTTTAAACTTTGAATTTTACCATTGGCTGTTGTAGCACTGGAGCTGGGGCTCCTAGGTCAGCCATATAGTGAAAGATTATGGGAACTTGTATTTCTACTCATGGACTTCAGGAGCTTTTAAAAAAAAATCTCTGTTAAGACTCAGCAGTGGGACCTAAATAGGAAAACACTCCTTCTCATCGCTTGTTCTGGTGATGCCACTTGCACAGTGATAGCTTTTACCCAGTTAGGATTCCCCATGTTTTCAGTTGTAGTGTCCCTACTGGGAGAGGATTGAAGTGCATGCAGAATTATAATAAGTATCATTGGTATTAAAGGCAAATGAACACCTAGTATTGGAAAGAGGAAGATGACTTCTGATTAAGATAACCAGAAGCAAGGAATGACATGAAGTTCTACAGACAGGTCAACTCAGATGTAGAGAACTGATGTAAGCTTAAAGGAAAGATGTTAGTGCTAAAGCAGAATTATCTTTGTTCCAAAATGGATTGATTACTTCAGGTTGTCAAACAATTTATAGTAAATAAATTAATACATACATATGGATGCAGAGTTATCTGTGTAGTAACAGTAAGATTCTTCTGGGTTAAAACATGTAATCCAATAATCTGTAAGGCAGCTGAGCATGGAATAAAACAAGGTGAGAGGCATATAAAGCAGCTGGTAGACAGGGTCATTACCCTTCTGGTGATAAGGAAACAGAGATGGTATAGTTTAGGACACTTTCTAATGCTAGGAAAAGTACAAATACTTACGAATTGTGAAGATAAGGTCTGTACTCACTTCTCAGACCAGCACGGCCATGTCAGTGCAAATTCCGTAAGAGTGGTCTCAGTGCTCAAAGGCATGTTGCTTTCCCTTATTCTCCAGTATGGAATGTCACAGTACGCTGCAGCTTCCTATATGTCAGAAGACGGGACAATGAGAAGTTGTTGGTTACTCTGAGAAGAAAAGACTGGAGAAGGAATATAGTCCTCTTAACTTTATAGCCCAAGAAGGAATCATGCTCCCTGTACAGGCAGGCCAGAGCTGGAACAGAGAAAATCAGTTACTAAAACTTAGTGGTGCTTGGCTAAGAGGGGTTAGAACTACCCATATCATCCTTCTTCAGTGCATCTCTCACCGGCATAAGAGAAAAACACCAGCATATTGAACTGAGGGATGGTGCATCTTTAGGTGAAGGATGATTACCTTTCACAATCCCAGCAAATGAATGAGGCTGGTTCCAGATCTAGAAGTTCCGTGGCAAAGAAACCTGACTGGAAAATATGCAAGTTTCCAGCTTACACCTGTGAGCATACACATCCAATGTAATTTAAAAAGGGGTCAGGTCTGCTGTGTACATGGAGTTGCTGTTACAGTTTGCAAAGACTGTATATGAATTAAGTCATGGGGATTCTTTTTTCTGGGGCAATAGTAGTTCCAGACATCAGACTACCTGGAAAAACACAGGAAGGAAAAGAAAAACTCAAAATAAAGTCCTTTGGGAATATTCCTAAATATTTTTAGAAAACATTTCTGAACTAAGAGGTTTGGTCCATAAAAGAAAATACAAATGAAAAGAATCCAACAATTGCCTGCAAAATAATTTTGCAATGCATGGTGTATCATTTTTATTTGTAAGGGTCACTGCTGTCTACAAGGAGCCTCACAAGCATTGTTTAATTTTTACAGAAGTCATTCTATGAGGTGGTGAAAAATGAAAAATCCTTTGGCTTTGAAGCCATTGTTTGAGGGTATCTCATCCTAAATTTCTCATCCTAAATTTCCTTCAAGGGATTTCTTTGTTCAGCCACTCCAAAATTCACTATTTGTTATAGGAGTTACTGAAGGTTAAACTTAGCGTGAGCATTTGAAGGATTTAAAAGCATAGCATCCTGTAGATTAAATAGAACAATAAAAAATTGCCTGATTACTGAATCAATATTATACCATTTCCTGTATACTGAATTCCTTCATTTATGGTGAAAAATATCTGTCTGTTTACTTCTTATCTTCTGTAAATATCACACCTATTTTTTTACCCCTTCTCTTTCCTCCTCCCTTTGTATCTCCTCCCCTGTGACAGAATCAATTGCATCAGTGGCTATTATATAAAGAAAAGTTTTCAGTGGAGTTTCCAATTCATCCACCTTAGCCACCATGGGGCTAAGAGTTGCCAGCCTTTTTATGCTCTGGCTGGCTCTTTCCTATGCAAATGAAATAAGAAAAGGTAAGCTCTAGAAATGAAATGGTAGCAGATTGCCTCCTAGGAAAGAGGGAGAGAATTAAAAGACCACTGCAGAGGTAGAAGGAAGCAGTGCATTTAAATAATGCACTGGAGTTTTAAGGTGCCTTAAATTTCTTAAACTTTTAAATACTGAGGCTATATAGCTCAGCCAACATAGCAATACTGCTGTCTTCAGAGAGGTTAGTACCTATATCTACTGCATTAATCTCTAGTTTGATGTGCTTGGAAAATAGTTTCAGTGTTACTTTTCTTTCCACGTGTTGAGATTTTCTTGGTATGGCAACTACTTGGTAGAAAGCAACTATAGGAGTTTGGGAGGTTCATTGTTACAGCAATGAAGAAAGTGGATGATTGTGCCTTCCATTACTTTGGAATTACATAAATACTTCCTTTGAAAGTGAATGTAGTAACATTGGACAAAGCTCATTTTTGTCATTCAGGACATTAATAATCCTTCTGTCAAAGCTCTAATTTACTCTGTTTACTACACCTTTGTTTGAAGTGTTGAAATGGAGCTGTCATACTGAAAACTATTTTTGGAGGAATAGGTGATAAATTTTGTGCAGTGATCAGGTTTGGGGTATTGATCTTGGTCTGCTGTGTCTTGAATTCAGTAATGGGAGGAAAGCATTATCTTGCATTTGGTGTCCCAGCTGTGAACTCTGGGAGAATCTCTGTGTAGCCTTCCTTCTGGGGAGAGAAGCATACCAGCTTGGCTGGATGTATCTGGTGTGACTGATACCATCAAAGTACAATAACTTAGATGTTCCCTTGGTAGTTTTGCTTTCTCAAATTAAACACTGCAAGAAAATCTTGTGAAGATGAGTGGCATGTGTGCTTTTGGTACCTTGGCAAGCTTCCCAAGTATGCTCAGCTCTTATGTTCACCCCTAATCTACAGCATCTTGAGATTTATCAGCTGCTGTGTTAATTTGTATTATTTGTTGGTATAGATGGCTGGGAAGGGAACAAATCATAGAATCATAATATCATCATCTTCACCTTTTGCTATTGCAAAACAAAAAATTTTTTTTCCTCCTACCATGGTTATTTTCTAACCTATCTTCTGAAGAATTTCTGTTCTGTAGTAATAGAAATAACTGCTTCTGTTAGGAAAAGAAGGAGTTCTTTGAAAACTCCTGTTGTGCGCAAGTCCTTTCATAACATTTAACCTATTTGCCTTCCAGAGTAGGAGTGGTACTTCCTTGGTTTCCTAACTCTGTTTCCTTTCTAGTGCATGTTGCATCAGGGAAGAAAATAGCTCTTAGAAATATTTAATATTGCTAAAAATAATACTGTGATTCAGAATAAATTAATATTTGGCAAAGCTGTTTCTTCTGCTTAATAGGCACATCCTTGATCAGGCTTGAGATCTGTGGAATCACTGTGCACATAATTGCAAGTGGTTTCTACTGTAAAATGCAACACAACCTTTTCTTGACACTAGCTTGTTCATTTCACTTTTTCCATGCCTATTTCTTTTTCAACACTTAACAGGAAGGACAAGAAGCCATGGCCACTATGTCTGCAGCACTTGGGGAAACAACCATTTCAAAACTTTTGATGGAGACATCTATCAATTCCCTGGCATTTGCGAGTATAATTTTGCTTCTGACTGCCGAGACGCTTACAAGGAGTTCTCTGTCCACATTCAGCGTGGTCTGAACAGCAATAACCACCCTGAGATCCAGTATATTCTGATAACAATCAAGGACTTTACGGTGTACCTCACACCAAAACTGGCTGTGGTGGATGGGCGGATGTAAGTTCCTTTAGTATAATAGTATTTCGGAGAAATGTGCTGGGAAACAGGACTGATTCTTTTCACAGCTGTCTGTATACCATTAAGGTAACTGCTACAAGCATTTCTACAAGCAAAAAAAAGCCCTTTGAAATCCAGCATAAAACTGCTTTGGGGAGGGGATTTAGTATTAATTGTCATTTCTACACTGGCATAAGGGATGATTTAAATGCAAGTCAGGAAGAGGTTTGAATGAATTGTTCTTCTGGTTGTGCAGGAAACAATGCAGCTCAGGAGCCAGATCTTTCACTGGCATAAAATAACATAGCTTCATTTGGTTTATGGCATCACCTTGAGTTTACCTTAGCAGGTGGTCTAGTAAATCCTCAAAAATGAAGATGCATTTCTTCAGGGTCTTTTTCTCTTATTTTGTGGCAGAAGAGAGGTGGTTTTTTCTGATCTTCATAAATAATTCTTAAAGGTCCGATGACCATTCCTCAAGGGATTATAACAGATACAATGCACATCAAAATTTACACTAATTTGTATGTGGCAATATCCACTTTTTCACAGTGAGCTGTAGTATTTTTCTTTTCCTCTAACATGGTCACACAGGTAACTAGTCTGACTCAATTACTGGTGCCAAGTAGTGTCTTAACCTAGCCTTTCCTTTTGTTAGCCTATCCTTTCAGTGTGTGTAGATACACTCTGAAACAAGTGAAGCAACTTGTAGGTTAAGACATAGCTCTGAAGATAGAAGAAACTGGCAGTTAGTATGTCTTAGCATAATTTAAAACAAACCCCTTTCTATTGTCATTGTGGGACTGGGTTTTGTCCAGAATTCAGTTTTTGCTCTGAAGTTTGGAAGCCACTGCAAGGAAAATCTGTTTGAAGATAGAAAATAACATTCAGTTTTCCAAGGTTCATATCAGAATGCATAACAAAATGACATGAAGTTATAAAAAATGCATTCTTGCCCCAAATTGAATGAGCCCTTTATTGTGTACTTGGGTCTTAAAAAGAACTCCATTAAAAACAAGTTTAGAAATCCTTTAAAAATTGTTTTTCTTAAACCAAGCCTCTTTTTGTCTTAGGTAGTGTTCATAAAACAATAGATCCCTTCTGAACAGGTTTTTGCTGCATGGGGGATTTAGTTTTTTGTAGAACTTAATTTCCCATATTGCTCTTTAAACGATGTATGATTCATTGTCCTGTAAAATAACATTTCACACTACTGAAGTGAAAACTGTAAAGTAGAAAAATGTATGAATTTGCCTTTTGGAACCTGATCCACTGATTGATTGAATGTCCTAGTATTAGAAAAAAAGAGAAATATTCCATGCTGTGATAGCTGAAAGGTGAAAAGCTGCCCAGTGTTTTATAATCCCTCTTCAAATCATGATCTTACAAGGCCTCATTGTCCAGAGGATGAACAATGCAGCCAAAAGTAGAAATAATGGCTTCTGAGTTCCTGCCTACTATTTAGATGTGTAAGTCATTTGGCCATGTTAGAAATGCCTGAGGTAAATAGATGGAAAAATCCCAGTGACAGAAAATGAGGACATAAAATTCTCCCAGTCAAGAGACTAGTTAAGAGGAGATGTGCATAGACATACATGAATCCTGATAGTTAACAATTACATTAGCAAATCTGTAGAAAATGAACTGGTTATTTTGACTGGATTCCAGTTCACTCTACTTCTGTTTGAACAGACTCTAGTTCTTCAGATTTTATAGGATGAGGCTGCTTGCCACAATCGCTTTATTGCTGAATGAAATTCAGCAGTGTGTCTTGTTACATGGTGTGCTGTAAGACAGATGTACAAGGATAGGAGAAAGATCTGGTGAATTGATTCTTTATCAGACAAAAACATTGTGCTCAGCCTTCTGCAAAATATCTTCTGTCACATTAACATGCCTTGCTGTCACCATTAACAAGCTTGGTCCTGTCAACTGAAAACTAATGAACTAACTACTGAAACAAACTACTGAATTCCTTTTAACATGCTCCTCTCTTTTCAAACTTTTGTTGGCAGTCCTTGTATCTGCCTGTGCTTTTTGGACTCTCTCTTGAGGAGGAAGATCTTTGCAAAGGAACATTTATTGTCTCTGAAATGGTTGTCAGATCTTTTGGTAAAGAAAATCTTCCATTTATGTTGTTAGTTCTTTCATTGCAGTAACTTACTAGTGAGTGTTTGAATAGCCTCTATTGATACCACAATGACAATGGATTTTCCTTTGATTAAGTTGAAGACATCTGACATTTTGGCTTTTTTTCTTAAAGAACCTGTACCAGTGGGGAGGCTTTGCCTCTGAAGTTGCTTTCCTTTTTAAAGGATTGCATCAAGTGTCAGAGAGAGAGGATTTTATGCCTCATTAAAACAAGGCATCCCATGCAGCTAGGATCAGGTAGACACACACTGGTTTCTCTATTCGTTAGGGTATATTTGGCTTATTATAGACATTCATGTCACCCCTTATGTTTCTGTAGTAATACAAAGTCTCTGATTTTCTTCCTAGTGTGAAGACACCTTACTACAGCTCTGTTGTGCTCATTGAGAGCAATGACATTTACACCAAGGTTTATGCCAAATTAGGCCTGATTCTGATATGGAATCAGGAAGATGCACTCATGGTAGGTATGATCCAAGTCTTTTTTATTGGTATTTCCTGGGTTTAGCAGACTACTATATACTGAACAGAAGTAGAATTGCGTGAACTGAACAGAACTAGAATGTTAGGCTGACTCATCCAACTGACTCTCATAGTAACTTATTTTAAAAACATAAAGTTCCTTCCTCTGCAATGTGATAGAGGTAGCAGTATGGCATGCAGATGATCTTACTGGTCTCGAGAGAGAAGAAGCTTTCTGAGAAATAGCTAATGTTTTTCCTATAGCACCCCCACAATCCAGTCTGCATTTTCCTTCATCTGTCTTTTAAAGGACTGCCATCATCAGCTTTCCTAATTTATAGCAACACTTAAATTTTATCCCAGTAGGGAAAAAAAAAAAGAAAAAAAGAAGTCCTGTGATTTTAAGAATGCTTTCCTTTTCATCTTTATCACCATGGTGGTTACTGTCATTATTGAAATACAGGAGCTTCAGTCACTTCTTTCCGTTTTCTGTGTTACTTTTTGCATCTGTGTGTTTATCAACTATGTTACAAATTCATTTGCAATAGCTACTTCTCTAAGATTTTGGGTTCACCCTCACTTCTGTCATTTAGCAAATTCCTTTTCAAGTAAGTGTATTTGCTTTGGAATACCTTCATGCTCCAGATGATTCTTTACTGTTTTTTCTTTTTCTCTCCATTACCTAGGTGGAGCTGGATAGCAAATTTAATAACCATACATGTGGCCTCTGTGGGGATTACAATGGAGTTCCAATCTACAATGAGTTTATTGATGGAGGTGAGTCATCCTACCATACTGACAGTTGTCACGGAAGATAGGCTGATAAGCATTGCACATAGGAGCATCACAGGAGACCAAATTTCACCTGAGAGATTTCTGTGATTGCCCCAGAATAAACATTATGTTCCAGTGCTGCATTCCTGGTCTAAGGTTATTTTATTCCAGATGAATCATCTTGTTCTTTTCTCTCTGGCCTTCTTTTCTTCTTACCACTTTAAATTTTGAAGCACACTTAGACATAATAGACATAGTTCAGAGCAGACACCTGTGTCCGACAGGCATATTTGATACCATAGTAACTGTTTTCCTTGATCAGTAGAGTCCCAGGAATCAGATGCTCCTTCTTGTCAATTTTTGAAGCTCAGCAAGACCTCTTTGTAATTTTTTCTCATAGTTGTAAGCTACAATTCAATTACGTATGGGAATTTACAGAAGATCAGCAAACCCAATGCCAAATGTGAAGATCCTGATGAAACTCAGGCTCTTCCAAGCTGTAATGGACATGTGAGTATTCCTAGTGGTGAACTTCACTTGCATGGGCACATAGAGACATCCTTGTGCTATGGGGAGTTAGGGTGTGGGGAGCTGGGAAGACTTTATCCCTTCCAGGGCAAATGGTTTCTTCTTCCTTTCTTGAATAACTGTTGCTGTTCAGAAGACAGCAGTTTTCATGACAAGACAGGAAGTGTCTAGAAGCACAGGTGCTTAAAAATCTCTTTAATATTACAACTTTTCTTCCTTAGCGTGATGAGTGTGAGAGGTTGCTGACTTCCTCTGCATTTGCTGATTGTTGGTTACGTCTTAACTTGGAAATGTACATCCAAGCCTGCATGCAGGACAAGTGTGCATGTAATGGAAATGAGGACTCCTTCTGCCTCTGCAGCACCATCTCTGAGTATTCTCGCCAGTGTTCGCATGCGGGTGGCCGTCCGACTGAATGGAGGACACAGTACTTTTGCCGTAAGCAGCTATATAAATTTTACAAAGAAACAAATATTTCATGGATGTAGCCATGTAAAACATCTAAATTCATTCCTTATTTACAAAATTATAGGCATATATTGTAAATTTCATACCAGTAGTGCAATAAACTACATACTATGTTCTTTCTGTTTTCTTCTTCTACTACCCTTGTTATTAAGAAATCTTTTTCAGCAAGTAGAAATCCTGTTCCCGTGCAAAAACTGTAAGGTCTGATGCTGCAGGTGACTGGGATAATTTGATCTATTTGAGATCAAAAGAAGAAAATATAAAAATCAAGGAAAGCAGTTCAGAAACAGACAAACATGCTTTGCCAGATGGAGTCTGGCTTGGGATACCACTGACTTGAGGGAAGTAGGGGATGATGGACTTTACACTCAAATCTGGTGGTGTCTTTCTCATTCTTTCAGCCAAGACCTGTCCTGATACCATGATCTATAGAGAAAGCAGCTCACCCTGCATGGATACTTGCTCACACTTGGAGATCAGCAGCCTTTGTGAGGAACACTACATGGATGGTTGTTTCTGCCCTGAAGGCAAGTGTTATTCTAGCTATTGTATATGGAATGAAACCAAGGTCATAGGCAATGGTCATAGCTAAAATATTAAATGTAGTCAAATTATATCTTAAAAATTAGTACTGCTACTCATTATTCCCCCCCTAGGGGAACATAATTATAAGTTTTTTTTTTAATGAGGTAATAATTGATTAGTTAATCAATGATTTTATAGTTAAATCATATTAACACAAAGACAGGTAATAAATCTACTTCTTACTTCTCAACAAATGGACTTCTGCTAATATATAGAAAATCATGGGATTTAGGTTGAATAATTCTGAGACAATGCACATCATTTGCCCAGAGGGTGTTAATAAGGGACCGTGAGTGAAATTCTCAAACTTATGGTCAACCTTAGGAAAAAAGATCACAATAATAGTCTACAGAGTATGCCAGAAGGACTGAAAATCTAAACATGTAAAATTCTGAGATTGTTCTTGTATACTTATATTAAGCTTTTCGTCTGTGTATGGTTATATAAATGCGTAGACTTATATTTTCAAAGCTGGATAGAAGTGTTTTCCATGTGTCTTATATCACAAAAAGTAGAAACAGTATTCTTCACAGTTTTGATACTCTCAGCCTCTGCTTTCTGTGTCAAGTTGAGAGCATGCCTCCTCCGAGAGTTTCTCCTCTGAGGAAAAAGCTTATTTCAGCAAGCACTAGAATAGTTTACTATTGTGTTTTACAGGAACTGTGTATGATGATATTACTGAGAAGGGCTGCATACCTGCTAGCCAGTGCCACTGCAAACTCCATGGAAAGGAGTATCCACCTGGAGAAAACATTACCAATGAATGTGAGGAATGGTAAGGATCATGGTTGTTTATACATCTTTCTTTGTATGATTGTAAATGGGTCTGCATTTTTCAATCTTCCACTTAGTTATAGGAGACTTCCTGAAAACATTCTGAACTTAATGTTTATGTTGCATGTCTATCCAACCAATATTCTGAAATGTTTTCTTATATCTGTGGCATATGGCAGAGGGGAAATCTTAAGGAAATGGTCAAAGATACGGTTTTAAAACACCTGGGGATATCTTGTTTGCTAGGCATACAGATGCTTACAGTGCTCTCAGCTCTTGTAATATCTACGAGCATTTTTTAATTATTTGTGTGTTTATAGCACCTGTGATTCAGGCAGATGGATGTGCAAAGATCTGCCCTGTCCAGGCACATGTTCAGTGGAAGGAGGTTCCCATATTACCACTTTTGATGGGAAGAAATACACCTTTCATGGAGACTGTTACTATGTGTTGGCCAAGGTACTGTGTACTGTAGGGCTTTTCTCTTGTAGAGTAAATACAAGTGTCTGTGTGCTGATATGTAACAGCCATGAATTGTTGTTTTATTCCATTTTTATGGGATGAGGGAAGCAGAAATGCTGAACTGGAAAATTGAGGATGGGCTGCAATAGCTCTAGGGGGGAGTTGGGCACTTACCTTAATGGGTGGTTAACTTAGTCAGATAGTAGACTCCATATGCTGTCATTACCCAGTGGAGTCCTTCGTGTATAAGAAATCAAAGGATCACTCTGGCTGCATGGATAGGTAGACTGCAAAAATTGGCAGTTCTCAGGATTAGAAGCTCTCAGCTTCTAATAGCAACCTGTAATAGCTGGTTTTGTATCTGAGTGTCAAATTCAGCTAGGGAAAGGAGCTAGGCAGCTATTTCATTCATCTGTCCCTAAAATATCTGGTGCCTGTTCTTCTAGAGAATGACAAAGATCTTGTTGAACTAGAAACCATACCACTGAATTTGAAAGATGGTTCAGCTTCCAGAGCCAGTGCTGAAATGGTGGTCTTAATAGCTATGTACTATAGTAATTGTTATTGTAACTGATTACTTCAGTTGTTGTTTTGGAAATCATCTTGTGATATTTTTGATTGGACTAATGGATATTTATTTCTCTGTGATTGTAGGGTACTGTAAATGACAGTCATGCTCTCCTGGCAGAGCTGGCTCCCTGTGGCTCTACAGACAGGCAGACCTGTTTGAAGACTGTTGTGCTGTTAGTAGATCACAAAAAAAATGTAAGTGTTCTGTGCCTTCTGCTAGATATGTTGAAAATTAGCATATTTTCCTTACTGTGGAGTAGTAACTAATTCTTCTGGAGTCACTATTGTAGATAGATAAGGCACCTCAGACAGGCTGAAAAACAATCAGGCTTCTGCGTTGAGAACTCAAAATAGACCTAAACTGAACAAAAAGATGAGATGTAATTAAGCCAACATTTTCCCCTCTTCCCTTCTCTGCTCTAAGCTATATGATTATTCTCACTGTATTCCAGGCTGGCTGGAAGTGAGAGTACCATTCTTCCTCCCCTCACAGTATTTTACTTTATTCAGATACAATTTTATAGATCTAATTGAGTTTTTTTCAGAAGAGATCACATCTTTGAATGTTGATGCAATCCAACCTTCTTAAATATTTATATTTTCATTTATTTTAGTATTCTGTTTGGTTATGGGAATATCTAGACTGTATTTATACATAATTCTACAGACATGTACACATAATTTTCCTCCTGTGTTTCTGGTCTTCCATGTCCTTGCCAGCATAACTAGAACCAAACCAAACCAAATCAGAAACCCATCATCTTATGTTTCTGTATGTACAGACTAGCATTTTATGAAGAAGTTTAACAAACTGCTTTCTTATCATGCCAGAATCATACTAAACCATTACACTGAAGTGGTGGCACATGCTTTTATAGGGAATAGGAACTTGCTATAGATCCTGAAGGCCCAATATTTTTTTTTACTTGCTAAAACCAAGGTGCCCAATATAAACGAGCTTTGCATTTCGTTACTGCTATAAATTGTTGTAGGCAGGTGTAAGTGAAACACTGAGTAGCAAAACAAAATCTTGCGTGTATCCTACAGATCTACTGCCACATGCAATTTTCAGACAGATTCTTCCTTTCAAAGATTTTTAAGTTCTAGTCACAGTCTAAATGTGCAAAATGCCTCCCTTCTTAATCTTTTTTTTATTAGTTCCTTTTCCTCTCAGTACCTGGAACCTCATTGATTCTATTTGCTGTTACACAGGTGGTGGTTTTCAGATCAGATGGCAGTGTGTTACTGAATGAGCTGACAGTGAATGTGCCTTATGTGTCAGGTAAGGGACATAGCCTTGTGTGTCATGTGTCACACACCTGACTTCTCATGTGGGGGTGTATTTTTTCAGAGGCAAAAGTAGAAGAGAGGCATATGAAATTTGTTCAGATTTTGGAATAACTTGGGGATGTGATTTAGTAGTCGTCACTGAGAATTTCATGGGCAGACTGACTCTGTACAGTGGATGATTGAAAAAAAACTCCCTTGACTTTTTTCATGAATCTTGAATATACTTTGGCATGTAGCTTGAGAAAGAGGAATTGTCATGGCTTAAATTTAAAGCAGATAACTTAACCTACCTATAAAGATGGGTATTTAGCATTTTCTAAGTCTGCCTACATGGTGTGGTCATGTCCTAGCTCTCAGTCATGGTGAGGCCCAGGCATGTCTACCCCACCCCAATACTTACCCATGCTTTCTTTTTTCCTGTGGGGAGAAAGCTTGGCAGAAGGTAACTGCTGTATTTTCTGGTCAATGAGGGCAGGAAAGAAGAATGTACTGTGTAGCACCCTCTCATCTTCCCAGCTTACTTAGACATGAGCATCTTTTTATATAATCAGTGGATTTAGACAGACACTTTCAGAGGTTGACTCAGATCACCTAATTTAGGAACCTAACTTCTGGTGGAAGGTCACTATCAAACAGCAGCTGTGAGCTCTGGGAGTAACTTTTGAAAGGAACGTAGAACTTCTCTTTATCAGTCCTTTTTGGATATGTTCAGGCAGCATACTGACACAGTATGTGTTGCTTCTTATTTACTGGCCTATCTGCAGATGGCAAGTTACTTGCTAGAAAGATTCTTTACCTGAAAGGACAAGTATTCATGGGATGATACATTCATGAGTGCTTGTGCAAAAACAATTACAGTTCATAGCTGAACGTTTAGAGAAATTAAAGTGCTCTAGGAAATAAAATAGACAATCTAATAATTAGATTAAATAGATAAATAAAACATATAATAGCAGATTTCCCATAAGAAATTTGTTAGCCAGTAGATGTTGTTTTTTTGGACTTTAGCAAAGCTTTTGATACTGTCTCTCAGAGTATCCTTCTGGACAAAATGTCCAGCATACAGCTAACAAGTCCATAATACACTGGGTGAACAATTGGCTGATGGGTCAGGCTCAAGGAGTTGCACTAAATGAGATTACATCAGGCTGGTGACCAGTCACCAGTGGGGCTCCCAACGGCACAATTTTAGGGCCAGTGCTCTTTAATGTTTTTATAAATGGCATGAGTCAAATGTATATTAAGTAAGTTTGCCAATGATACTAAATTAGGAGGAGCTGTGGACTCCCTCGAGGGCAGAGAGATCTGGATAGACTAGAGAGCTGGGCAATCATCAGCCATATGAAATTTAAGAAGAGCAAGTGCCAGATTCTGCACCTGGGATGGGGTAATCCTGGTTATACTTACAAACTAGGGGATGAGAGGCTGGAGAACAGCTGCACGGAAAGAGATCTGGGGGTTTGGGTTGATGGCAAGTTGAATATGAATCAACAGTGTGCCCTGGCAGGCAGAAGGGCCAGCCGTATCCTGGGGTACATCAAGCACAGCATAGCTAGCTGGTGAAAGAAGGTGATTGTCCCATTCTATGATGTACTGGTGTGGCCCCATCTTGAGTACTGTGTGCAGTTTTGGGCACCTCAATATAAGGACATCAAACTATTGGAGTGTGTACAGAGGACGGTGACCAAGATGGTGACAGGTCTCGAGGGTAAGTCTTGTGAGAAGCAGCTGTGGTGACTTGATTTGTTCAGTTTAGAGAAGAGAAGGCTGAGGGGTGACCTCATCACAGTCTACAACTTCCTCAAGAGGAGCAGCAGAGTGGGAGGTGCTGATCTCCTCTCTCTGGTGACAAGCAATAGGACATGAAGAAATGGTATGAAGCTGCATCAGGGGAAATTGGACATTAGGAAAAGGTTCTTCACTGAGAGGGTGGTCGGTCACTGGAACAGGCTCCCGAGGGAAGTGGTCAGGGCACCAAGCCTGTCAGAGTTCAAGCAGCATCTAGATGTTGCTCTTAGTCATATGGTTTGGTAGTCCTGCGAGGAGCAGGGAGTTGAATTCAATGGTCGTTACAGGTCCCTTCCAACTCAATATATTCTATGATTCTGTGATTCTAATTAGGAAGCCCAGTTCCTCCACTATGCTGATTTTGTATGTCAGTTCTGCTGATTTTTCTATAATGGCTTGATTAACTTATGTATAAGCATCTAACATTTTATTAGTAGTAGTATTTAGCTATGTATTGGCCTGTAGAGACACGCCTATTACTCACTGTGTGTAACAGTGCTGGGATAACACTTTCTCATAAAATCTCTTGCACTTTAGATTGCTCAGTGTTAAGGAGTTAGCACTGAAACTGTATTGCAGAAAATCTGCATTTGGTTCTGATCCCAGGGATGAGTCATTATAGATAATCAACTTGTTAAGTTAGTGGGGATCAGCATTATGTCTAGCTGGCCAGAGATTTTTAGAGGAAACAAATTATTAATTTGATCCTGATCTCAGAGTTTTCATGGCAGGTGATACCTTAGAATCTAATAAGAAGTGTTTCTTTTGGCAGCCTATGTGTGTGTTTACTGCACAGTTCATGTTTTTTTTTCAGCCAGCTTCTCGGTATTCAAGCCATCTTCCTACTACCTTGTTGTACAAACTTCTTTTGGGCTTCAGCTGCAGATCCAGTTGTTTCCAGTCATGCAGCTGTTTGCAACTGTGGATCAGTCAGTTCAAGGAAAGCTTCAAGGCAAGTGTCTATTCAAATGGGAATCAAAGCCATGCTGAAGAGTCATGTATTCTTTACATGAGTGATAATTTGTGCTACTTATTGATTCAAGAGGAGGAAACTAAAAACAGAAACCAAAGCATTGGAAGAGAATTGACTCAGGCAAACTAGAAATGCATTTTTATTATTTCATATTGAAGTGACCTATCACTCTGGTGCCAGTACATGAATGTTTCGTAGACTATTTCTTACTTTTGTATTTAGTTTAATTTTTAACTATCCACAAAACCAGGCTTATGGTGCATTTTGTGGTTTTAATATCATCAGGAAGCATAAAAAATAGAGGTTAGGGCAGTGACCTCCTGAGGCTGAGATATCTTCCTGAAAACTATTCTTCTCAAGAGGTTAAAGATTTAAAATAGGGCTCCTAAATCTTCAGTACTTATAGTATGCATGAATATTGAAGTGGAATAATCAGCTGTATGAAATTTTGTTTCTAATGTTTGTGATCAGTTGTCCCTTTCAATTTGACCTTTTAGACTGAGAATGAGTAATAATTAGGTAAATTTTCTACCTTCTTTTTCAATAGGTCTTTGTGGAAACTTTAATGGAATGGAGGGTGATGACTTTAAAACAACTAGTGGGCTGGTAGAAGCTACAGGATCTGCCTTTGCTAACACATGGAAAGCTCAGTCCACCTGTACAGACCAGGTAGAAAAGCTGGAAAACCCTTGCAGTCTCAGCATTGAAAGTGGTAAGCACACTAATAAGTCACATGGTTGGCTTCTGCCAGAATGAGCTTTTTTTGCTGTGTATTACTGCAACAGGTATGTAAGAGTTGTAGTGTGGTATTGAAGTTTTATAGAGGACTGTCAAATTAATAACTAATTTCTGCAAGTATGTATACTTATGAGCACTGATTTCCCATCAAATTGAAGTGAAAGTTTAGGGGGAGATTGTAGAGGAATCCTGAGCTGGAAGATAGGGAAACAAAGTCCTTAATTTATATTTTCTGCAAAGGCAGCTTGTATTTCCTAGTATTATTTTTCCCTATGTTTAACTTAGCTTTATGGTCCCCAAATGGAAAGGGTTGTCACAATTCCATGTAGACAAGTTGCAGCAGTAAGATACGATTTTTGATTTTATGACTGCGCGTCTACTGCTAGATAACTGAATCAGAGAATAGAAATATATGTGCAGTGATTGCATGTAGTTTCTCCACTCCCCAAAGTGCACACTACTCTCATTTGTATTGTTGCATTGCATTTATGTGACAACATAAATGGCACAAGGAAGATAAGTGAATGTAATGAATATAATGATATAATTTCATTTTTCTCCTTTTTTGCAGCAAATTATGCTGAGCATTGGTGTTCTTTGCTGAAAAACTCAGAGGGTCCTTTTGCAAGATGTCACCCAATCATTGATCCTTCAGAATACTATAAGGTATTGTAATCTTGCACTCCTTTTAGTACTGCTTTTTTTTTCAGACAGATGGCTGTAGACATTTATCATTGTTCAAACATTTCAAACACTGAATAGCTTGCCAATAAGAGCTGGTGAAGTTTTTGCAGTGATTAACTGAGGCAGCATAGCATGCATCCAGTTATCTCCTATGATGAGATTCTTATGGAATGGTGCTGAAGAAAAAGGTAAATTTGTTCTTCTGGTTTCTTATGTTTTGTATTTAATGTACATTTTTGTTGGATTGGGTATTTGAACTGGAAAGAAGATTCAAGAGATTCAGGTGTGCACAGAAAGTTTAAATCTGCCCTTAAACATTAGTTGCTATTAAGTCAGAAAAAAAAAGGTAAATATTTATTAAGTTTCCTGTATTTGTTGCAATGTAACACCAAATAATTTTCATGCCAGGATCACCATGGTTTCTTTTTCCCCTGAGCTCATCACTGTTAAGTGGTAAGTGAGGCTTACCTGAGCAAAAAAGAAGAAATACCTAAGTCTTTGCTCATACCTGGAACTCAGTCTGAGCTCAAATTTTGTGAAGATCTTCATAGATCTGGTTAATATTTTGCCATTATGATTTTTAATTTTTATGGGTATCTGCTTTTCTAAGTTGTAACTGAGAACGAATGGTATCAAAATCCTTTAAGAAAGGTGTTGTTAGGAGGCTGACTACTTTTTAAAGGTTCAAGAGGCTTGGCTTAGGTTAGGATAAGCATCCAAACATTTTCATTTTGTATGAAATGAAGCAGCACTTCCAATCTCTGGTCTTTGTCCATTCCTTCCATTGTTGTCTGATCATAGGAATTAATAAAAACAATGTCAGAAAAAGGACACAGGATATTTCATAGGAACTGAGTAGCAATTGGCCGTTGGTTTCCTGTGGGCTTACTGACTCTTTTGTTCTTTTTTCAGAAATGTAAATATGACACCTGCCTCTGTGAAGACAATGAAGAATGCTTGTGCGCTGCCCTGTCTTCTTACTCAAGAGCCTGTGCTTTCAAAGGGATCATACTGGGAGGCTGGAGAAAAAGCGTCTGCAGTAAGTGGTGGAACTGTAATCTCTGTGGAATTAATCAGCCATGAGAAATAAGCAGGTTCTCTCTGAATTTGGTTGTTGGTGATCTCAATGTTAAGGGATTTGGAGTATCTTAGAAATGTCTAATAGATTTAAAAGAGACAGCGCTTATAATGTTTACTAATTCATGTTGTATTCTTTAGCTGTCATGTGTTCATGACATTTAAAAGTAGAAAGCAGTATTTTTCACTTTCATCTTCTTTCCCAGTTTAAACAATAATGCTGTTTCTATCTGTGACTAATGGAATCCCAGCCATCATGGCTTTTACATTGCTTTGCTTATCAGTGTCTTTGTTTATCATTGTGCTTGCTTTTCATCAACAGTACAGTATTGTTGAGACTAGGAGTTTATTACATTGTGCTCTCTGATTATCAGTATGTGAAACATATGAAAGTAGAAAGTATTAGTAGCAGTTAAAAAGATGTCTTCAACTGGTAAACAAAGTTAGGCTAGCATTACTTTGGACTTATGATGTTTTTGTACTTTAATAGAATCTAAGGCAGTGTTTTCACCATTACATGCTGCACAGCCAAAGAAAATTCCAAAACGGAAATGTCAAGGTCAAGTTGTCCATCCTATATCCCTTATTTATCAGTTTGTTTATTTTCTGTCCAGCTAGTGAAGTGTCTTCCTGCCCAGGAAATCAAATCTTCCTTTACAATCTTACAATGTGCCAGCAAACCTGTCGCTCCCTTGCTGATGGTGAAAAGCATTGCTTGCAAGACTTTGCTCCTGTGGATGGCTGTGGCTGCCCATATAATACATATTTGGATAACCAGGATACCTGTGTACCCATCTCCAAGTGCCCATGTTATTACAAGGGATCGTACCTGGAACCGGGGCAATATGTCACAAAAGATGAAGAACGTTGGTATGTTTTATTGTGGCTTCTTTGTGGGGATAAAAGACCTTTTAAAATTTGCTTATTAGGTGTAAGCTGGTTAGCTTTTTTGGTGCTTTAATGAACATTTGTAATAGGTTTCACACCATCTTCATGCTGAGCAAAGCATCATCCTGTTGCAATGTAATTTATTACTAATTGAGAAGTGCAGCTTTGGAGGTGTGAGTACTGGCCTTCACAGATAAATGCTACTCTGAAGCTGCACTGTTAATAGGGCTTTCCTGAGCAGAGGGGTAAAAGGAAGATAAAAGGCCAGTTATAATACTATGTTGCTGTTTCCTTTTCTGTCAGAGACAGATTGCTTGTGTTTTGCACTGGAGGAAGGTCCCCTTGATATGTATTTACTGTAGCATAGGCTTTTGAAAGCAACTTTCACAATTCACTTTTTTTATTATGGACTCTGACAACTGTTTGCTGCATGAATCATCAGTGCAAACTATGAAATACTTCCTTCTCTCATCTAGCAGATGAAGCATACACGCCAAAAGATTTGCAGCCTATGAGTTGAATAGGCATGAAGATATACTGTGTATCCAAATGAAGGCTTTGATTTAAATTATCATTATTATCTGTTTCATTATTATCTGTTTCATGAGTCATCAAAAAACATGGTATTAAGGATTAATAGAACAGCTGTCATTCCTTAAAACGTAACCTTTGTGCGCATTATTCCTAAAATTTTGCTATACTTTTTCTCCAAGTGAAAATTCATGAGTGCACCAATAGAGTTCAACTTGAAATATCAGTGGAAATTATGCAGGATATGTCTGATAAATACTCTCAAATTTATATAAACAAAACCTTAGATTTAAATTGAAGACAGTGAGCTTACCTTTTTTTTTTTAATTTCTACTTACATCACTTTTCTAGTGTTTGCCGAAATGCAAAGATCCAGTGTACTTCAGTGACAATAAGAATGAGAAGTAAGTGACATTCTATAAAGTAAAATAAAAACCATAACCCAACCTCCAAACCCAAAACTACACTTTCCATTTGAATTCTCCACTTACTTGTTTTGCATGTTTGTTTTTTCTCTTTATGTGAAAAAGTTACGCATTTTCACTTTGTTCTGTCTTCACTGAGCCTTTTTATTCATAGGGATAGACGTACCCTGAGATTTCTGTCTCAGTAACTACCACCTTTCACACACATTTCTTTTGCCTTTTCTTGATTCATCTAAACCAACAATGTACCTTTCAGGTGCAACAGAATGTTCTTCTAACAAGACATACTTTAACTGCAGTGCATCCCAAGAGCAGACTTCGCAAATGCCTGTACAACTTAGCTGTCATACTCCTCAAATGCATTATGTATGTATGCGGTTTTTCTCCATGTCATGTTTTTGTTATTCTGTATTCTTTAAATGACACAGTACAACACAGAAAGTGCAGTTGTAACTGACACTTTATTTGTCTTTGGTTTAATCTTCCTTTCTTTTCTCACCAATGATACTAGTCTGTTGCCAATTTCATGACGAGTCCCCTTATGGCTTCCCTCTCCTTTTTCTTTTTACTGTGTCTTCAGTAGAGTCGTACCTCC